TATTCCTCTTCTTCTCTCTCCTCTTGCTTTCTATTCTTTGTCTTTTCTTTGTTCTGCTCTCTTCTTACTCCTTTCTCTAGTTTCTTTCCTTATAATTTATCTTTCTTCCTGTCTCTGTTTCTCGTTATGTTTTTATCTTCTCCTGCTCTTTTTCCTTTCCCTTGTTTTTCTCCTGTCCCTCTTTTGTGTTGCTTTTGTCTTCTCTTTTTCTCTTCTCTATTCTTCATCACTCAATTTTATTTCCCTTCCCTGTCTCTTGGCTTCTTTTTTTTGTCCGCTAGCTGTTAATTTTCATTTTGCTTTCTCTTTCCTTTGTTTTGCTCCCTCTTACTCTTTTTTTCCTATCATCGTTCTCGTTCCCTCTTTTGCCCTCTTTTCTTACTTCTCTTTTTTCCTTTTCTTCTCTGATTCATTCTTTTCTCTCTTTCCTTTCTCCCGTGCTTAATCCTCGCTCCTTCTTGTCCCGATTTCTTTTTCTTTATCTTCTCTTTTTCCTGCTGTCGTTTATTTCTTTTTTCCTCCAGTGCTTTTTCTTTCTCTTTCTCTCCTTTCCTGCTGACCTATTTACTCCTTCTTCTTCCCTTCTTCCTATTTATCTTCTTTTTGCTTTCTTCTATTCTTATTTTGTACTACCTCAATTGCTTGTTTCTCTATTGCTTTTTCCTTCCTGCATTACTCATTATTATCATTGTTCTACTTGTTTCTTCCTTCCTACCGATACTTCCCTCCTTCTATTCCTTCTTTCTTCTTTATACTTCTTTAATTTTGTATTTCCTCTTTGTCCTACTGTGCTTTCTCTTTCCTCTATTTTCCTTGTTACTTTATCACTGTTCACTGTTTCTTGTTTCTTCCTTCCTATTGCTTTCTCATTTTCTATGTCAGGCTCTTCTCCTCGTCTTTTCTCTCCTTTGTTCTTTGCATATCCTGTCTTTTACTCTTCAGCTTGCTCTAGTCGTTTCCTCCTCTTCTCACGTCCTCTTCTTATGTTTTCCTTTCCTATTATTCTATTACTGGTTATGTTTATTCTTGTCTTGCTGGTCTTTCTCCTCTTTATTCCTTTTTATTTGTCTTCTCTATACTTTCCTTATCTTCCTTACTTTGTTGTGCCGACTTCCTGTCTTCCTTTCTTTCTTCACTCGTGTTTTTCACCCACTGGTCTTCTTTTTTTGTCTCCTCCTTATTCATTGTCTCTTATCTGTCACTTATGATCCTCTCTTTTGTCCTCATTCCGTCTCCTTCCTCATCCTGTGCTTACTTCTTTGTCATCCCTTCTCTTGGTTTATCGCCTCTATTATCTCTCTTGTTGCCTCCTTTCCTATGCATTTTCTTTCCGCTCTTCTTCTATTCTTCCTTCTTTCTCTGCATTTCCTTCTTTCCTCATTGATCCTAATTCTGCTTATATCTTTCCTTCTTCTTTTGCTAAGTTCCATGTCGTGCGTTTTGTGTGTCGCTTTTTGTTTTCTTCGCTTTTTACTGATTTTCCTTATTACTATTGTTTGTTTCTTTCCTACATCATGTTTCTTTTGTTTCTCTTTCTTTCGCTTTCTCCTCTTTTCTGTACCTTTGTTCGTCTTTATTGCGCTTTGCTACTCTCCTCTTGTTTATATTATTTTTTTCTTTCCTTCCCTTCCTATCTGATTGCTGTCTTTACTATTTCCTTTTTGTTTCCCCCTTTCCTATCTTCTGCTTGCTTTCATTGTGTTTCTCATTTTCTCTCTCGCTTTGTCCTTGTTACTGTCTTTTCATCTTCCGCTTTCTTGTTTCTTCTTTCCTGCCCTCTTTACTTTTTCCTTCTACACTCTTCTCTCTCTCCCTTTCATTTCTATATTCTACTTTCCTTTCTGACTTCTTGATGTTTTTTTCTTGTCTCTGCGTCCTTTATCTTTCTCTCTACCAGCTTCTCTTGTACACTTTGTTTTATCTTAGCTTCTCCTATTATCTTAATCCTCCTTGTCTCTCCTTCTTTATTTACTTCTTCACTTCCTCTCTCTTTTCTTCCTTGTTCTTCGTTGTTTTTCTCCTTTGTTTCTTACTTTTTACTCTATTCCTTCTTCCCTTCTCCTATCT